TATTGATAGGGAGATGTGCTGATTAGTTTTTGGCAAAAGCAGGTCCAGCTGTTACGGAGATACGCAGCAAAGAGTGTAGAAAATAGAAATCAAGTTTTTGAGAGATCGGAGCATCCGATTTGAATGATCCCAAAAACATTCAATTCGTAATGACGGGAAGAAGGGGTGATTAGTTTTTGGCAAAGGCAGGTCCAGCGGTTTCGGAGATACAGAGCTAAATGTGCAAAAAATGGCAGTTTTTGAAAGAACTTAGCGTCCGATTTGAATGATTCCAAAAACTTTCTGCTTGTTTTAACAAAATAATTGATTTTGGAAGAAAAAATTTTTGCTTCAAAAATTCAAATTTTTTTATTGTAATTCTGTTCTAATATACTTTAAACAAATAATTTCAACCTTTCCATTTAGTTTATATATCTCTTATAAATATTCGACAATGTTACAATATTTATAATAATCTATTTTCAAACATTTAATATTCCCTTCGATCACTTCGTTACGGTACAGGAAGTTCCAGCAATTTAGTTCCCACTAGTTTTCTTAAGAGTTTAATACGAATTTTCCAAAGCAAAACTTTTTAAAACTAAAATAACAAACAAACATTAGTATAATTACCCCCATCATGTGCGTAGATGTATTGAAGAATATTGACGCGATTTCGGGCAGCAGCCTGATGAACAGCTGCGCGACCTCTGCCATCTCTGACCCCCAAACGACCAGGCTCAGATAAGTGGAGTCGAGAAAAATCTTCTAGATTTCCACTTTCGGCAGCCTAAAAAAATAAACATTCAAAATTGAAACACTAAGTAAAAAATATTTTTGATCAATAAATTCAACACAAAATTTTAAGGCTTTTGATTTTAATTATTAACTTCCCAAGTTAAGTTATTGTAATCGTCCAAAAATCAAAATTGAAATTTTTTACATTTTTTCACGTTTTAAAGGTTTTTGAACATTTTAGCATTAGAAAAAATGGATGTGTGCGTGTGTGTGTGTGTATGTATGTATGGATACAATTTTTCGTCCACGTTTTCGGACGCACGAATTAACCGATTTGAATGGTTCAAAAAACATTCGACTCCTATTGATAGGGAAATGTCCTATTGAAAGGCAGGTCCAGCCATTTCGGAAATACAAAGCAAAGAATGCAGAAAATAGAAATCGAGTTTTTGAGAGATCGGAGCATCGGATTTGAATGATCTAAAAAACTTTCAAATCGTAATGACAAGGAAAAGTGGTGGTTAGTTTTTGGCAAAGGCAGGTCCAGCAGTTTTGGAGATACAGAACTAAAAGTGCCAAAAATAGCAGTTTTTGGAGAACTAAGCGTCCGATTTGAATGATTCAAAGAATTTTCTGCTTGTTTTATTAAAATAATTGCTTAATAAATTTAATTTATAATTTAATTTTTTTTCAAAAAATATTTTTTTTGTATATCGAACTAAATTGAGATTTTAATTTGAATTATGGCTAAAGTTGTAAAATTCACTTATATACTTTAAATAAATAATTTTGACTTTGTAATTCAGTTTATATAACTCTTATAAATATTACAATGTTATAGTATTTATAATTATCTATTTGAAAACATTTAATATTCCAGAAAATAATTAAGTTTCGGAAATTTGCCTTAAGGCACGATGCCATACACCAATAGTTTAAATTTATATGAAAAAATCCATAAAAATGTTCACTTTTCTGCAATTTAATTTTGCACAATACAATTTCATAATAAGTTCAAAGATTTTATTAACGGTTGCAGTAAAGTCCGCGCAATAAACTGCAATACTTTATATGCAATTAGTGTTGCGTTTAATTTACTTTAAAATGTATTTTATTCATGAAATTTATATCATGGAGATATTAGACATTTGTTTTTCATTTAATTATTTCTAGAACAAACCGGTAAAGTAGTATGGATAATTTATAAATTATAAATTTATTTAATGTGATATAATAATCGATCTCGAGGTTGTGATCGAAAAACTAAACCCACATTTGTTAGATAATATTAAAAAGGATTATATCAAAAAATATAAAATGAGTGAGAATAAATATTGCATATATTAAAAATGTTTATATTATTTTACTGATCATTGCTACTTATTTTTAACCAAATCATAAGTTTGTGCAAAATTACGATATTTCACTTTGTTTTTGCTAACATTTATCACCTGTTGAAATAAATTTATATATATTGGCTACGACGAGTTCTACGACGTATAAAAACTTGGCTCAAGAAAAAGGCAGATACAGAAAAATGAAACCAGGAAAAACGCTGGCAGCTTGAATTTTTTTCTTTATTCGATATATCAGGTATAAAAATTAGAAAACAGTTGGCGGTCATATTATGCACACTCGATGTCCTATAGCGCCTGGACGTTAATTAGTCATTTATTGATTACCGAGAAAATTCAATTCGCATTCGCTAAAAAATAACCAATGCAATTTTCAATTGATATATATATATATATATATATATATATATATAAAATATATAAATATATTAATTTAAGATAACTTTTGTATAATACTTGCCAACTTCCCGTAGGTTAATAAATATCTACATGCTTCTGTTATATTAAAACTCTAATAAAATACAATAGTGTAAATGAACTTTGTCAATCGCCCTACTGTTGGTTAACTTTATTATAGTTTATTCTAAGTTAATAATGTGTATACATTAACTGATAAAAATATAGAGTCGATATTTCTTAGAGATATATTTCTTGCCTTTTTACAATTTTTTTATATAGATATACTAATTGACATAAACGTGTTTATACAGAACATGTTGTATTATGAAATATAAGCATAGTACACGATGTATAGAGTTAGTCGGAAAAAACTTCGGATTGGGTATAGGCCTCCTCCAAAAATTCGTCGTTTTCTTTGGCGTAAAACTTCTTTAGGCGCGACTAGGTTGTAAATCTATACAAATGCAACGGAAGTGCGTTACGGCAGATAAGATTACGGTGCCAATGATTCGTCCCTCGATGATATCATTTCTATACGGGTCGATTGTGATTAGTCGTCGTGTATGTGAATAGAGATCTGTCGTTGTATGCGTACCGGCGTCAACGTTGTATGCGTACCGATATCGACAAGAAAATCGGCATTGATAAATAAACATTTTAAAGTTTATGATTTAATGAAAAATGCCTAAATCAGAAGAATATTTTACTGTGTTCCATGAAAATAATGAAACGAATTAAACATAGATTACAAATTATTTCTACATTCGTAGTTTCCATAAATATTTGAAATTATTAAAATGGAAACTATTTTTTAGGCAAAACTGATATTACAGCTGTTCAAAGAATGAGATTACATCGCCAGCAAAAAAGTAAAACTAGCTGTAAGTGGAATTCTGTCTTAAGGCAATTAAGGCATCGTGCCTTAAGGCAAATTGCTGGAACTTCCCGTACCAAAAATTATTATTTTTTTAAAAACGATTAACATTTTTGAAAAAAAATTACTTTGAAAAAATAAGATTTTTGAGAAACTATAAATTCGACAAAAAATTACTTTTTTTTGAAAAAAAAATTAAAAAAAAAAAAAAATTATATTTGTTTAGGCAAAAACAATATTTGTTTAGGCGTTGCTTAACATAATCCACTGTGTGACCGAATATAATAGAATTTATTAATCAGCAATTACTTCATTTCTCTAATGATGGTTTATTTCTAAATGCTAATTACAATGACAAACCGATCATGTCATATTAAAAATATGACTTTAATTACATTATTGTTTTTAAATATTATAAATATTTTTAACGATATTATAAATATATAATTTATAATTTATCATGATATGATATAAAAATTGAAACGTGACAAAAATTATTTTTTATAATTTTGGACAGAACTTCTCGGCAAAACTAAACATTTTTGTATGCTATTATAGACTATAGACCATTGTTTTTCTTACTTGATTTTGAGGTACTCCTTTAACAATGTTTTCTGTTTTGAGATTTACTCCATATTAACTTCCCGTAGGGTAAGTTATTGTAATGGGCCGAAAATCGGAATTGAAAATTTTAACATTTCTCGACGTTTTGAAGGTTTCTGAACGTTTTGGCATACCTCAGAAAAAATGGATGTGTGTGTGTGTGTGTGTGTGTATGTGTGTGTGTGTGTATGTATGTATGGATACAAATTTCCAGTCACGTTTTAGGGCGCACGGATCAACCGATTTGAATGGTTCAAAAAACATTCGATTCCTATTGATAGGGAAAAGAGCTGATTAGTTTTTGGCAAAGGCAGGTCCAGCCGTTTCGGAGATACGGAGCAAAGAGTGCAGAAAATAGAAATCGAATTTTTGAGAGAACGGAGTATCCGATTTGAATGATCTAAAAAACATTCAATTAGTAATGATTGGGAGAAGTGCATATTAGTTTTTGGCAAAGGCAGGCGCAGCCATTTCGAAGATACGGCGCTGAATATGTAAAAAATGGCAGTTTTGAGAGAACTAAGCGTCCGATTTAAATGATTCATAGAACTTTCTGCTTGTCTTAATAAAATAATTGATTTTGGAAAAAAAATTTGTTCCTTTTTTTTTTTTTTTTTTTTTAGTTTTTAGTTTTTAGTTTTTTGTATATCGAAAATATTTCAGATTTTATTTTTAATTCTGACTATAATTCTAATATACTTTACAAATAATTTCAATTTTGCAATTCAGTTTATATAATTCTCATAAATATTAGACAATGTTACAATATGTATAATAATCTTTTTGAAAACATTCACTATTCCTCAAACATTTCGTTACGGTACGGGAAGTTCCAGCAATTTGCCTTAAGGCACGATGCCATAATTGCCTCAAGACAGAATTCCACTCACAGCTAGTTTGCTATTGATATGAATACGTTTCATTTAGTTTTTAAAATGATACATTCAAACGGTTTTCAAACGTCTTGGGTATGATTATCGCTTAAAATCAGAAAACTGTCGCAATAAATAGGAGTGCTTATCGAATTACATCGAACAGCTTACAATTCTTTGTAATTGGTCTATCCATTTTTGCGTGTACGCCGACAAAATATAAAAAAAATTGCTCACATATAGTTTTCACCTGTCAAACAGGTCAAATCTTCTACTAATCTTTAATACTCAGGTTATACAATTCAACATATTCCGTAGACAAGATAAATAACAAAGAATCCATAGCTACAAATATGTATACAGATTGTCATTTAGTTCGAACAGTTCTGTCGTAAGGCATTAATATTTCAGTAAGTTCTATAGGACCATGATATATCGCCAAAAAAGTTCCATAAAAATCGTTCTATAAATTTTTTTTTCAACAGTTAAATACAAGAAAACGGCTCGATAGATTTTTACCTAAAACTAACCAGTATCATTCCCATCTAATACCTTTCGGAGAGTTTTTGAATTTTAAAAATCGATTCAGAATTGCGTGCTAAAACGTGGACGAATTTTTTTCACTTTTCTGCTATTTACAAAGAAACGGCTTGGCTGATCGTCGCGCAAAATTAATAAACGCTAGTCCTCATCTAGATACATCGAATGGCTTTTAAATTTTTGAAATCTGTCTAGTCGTTTTTGAGAAAATGTAGATTGGCGTCAAAAAATCTGTTCACACACACACACACACATATACTTTTTCCAAATTTGGTCTCATTCGATTCAGAATGGCTTGAAATGCCGAGAAAACATAACATTAGCGAATCGGCTTTTTTCATGAAAACATATACTTCTCTTTCGGGAAATTTAAAAAGCAACTAGCAAAAATAATTTAAAAAACTTTCAA